TTCTAGTAACAATGGCTTTTAATTTATGAGAAGCTATAAATCACAAGCCTCTGAGAGAAATAAATATAGATCTTAGAGTTTGGAACATGGTAAAATGTGGAGATATTGCTGCATTTAATATACACCAGCGTGACAAGAGAAACTAGGCTGTTATGACTGAGTCAGCCTTCTGAAATAATTATTAGTAAATTATAATTCTATGTATCTAAAAACTAGATAAATGCATTTAATATGTGTTGGTTTTGTTGTCAAGCTAATTTAGTGCTCAACAGGCATTAAAATGATAAGTGTGCTGTTTTTAAGGTAGCTTTTGTTCCATGAGATGTTGGTAATCACACAAAATTAAGGCACTGTATATCCAATTCTTTGTATTTTTGCAGATGATAAGTTGCTCTTATACCTGAATTCAAGATGAGCTCTTGTGGTCATTAAGGCCTATTAAACTGCAATTTCTGTTCCTGAATTTTGATACTTCCTTTACTCTGCTGGGCTGTTAACTTTTCCAGGATATATTGGTTGACTTTTACATGCTTGCTACAGAAATAGAAAAAAAAATACTTCACTGTGGGGGACCAGATTTTAATGCCTTGTACTGTTTGGCACAAACACTAAGGCACAAAAAGGAAACCAAGCATTATGTAATGTGATGAACCATGGAGCTTTGCCATCTTGTGTACATGGACAATATAGAGACTTGATATATAGTTCTGAAATGCTTCTTATTCTGATGCTTTTTACCTTTATGCCATGATTTTTGAAACATGAAGCCAGCATCAAATTGTTTTGTTGCTGGTTGGAAAAATCCCAAGCCAAATATTGGGAAACAGTTTTTAAGTTTTATTCAGTTACAGATGTTTTCCCTAATAAGTTGCAGCTTCTTGTGTAACTTTTGCATTAGAAAAACCTTTGGGCTTGACTTGATAGTTTGAAGTGAAATATATAATTCTTTTTTATTTAGAAAGAAATGCTCTTTACTGTGACCTGCTGTAGTTAAAGCATGTGTTGTGACCTGTTTCCTGTGATACCAGTTCTTTTTAGTGACATAAGAAATGTCCCCAAGCCTTTTTTAATTCTCCAAAGGAATAGTGAATCCCCACTGGTGCACATCCTCTAAAATTAATTTTGTGCAGTTTTAAAAAGTGGCAAAAAGAAAAACCTTGCCCTGAACATACAGTCACGCTAAATCTGGATCCACTTTGGAGGATTGATAGCTGAGTCCAAGTTTTCTCATTTGATAAAAGCTTTAATCTCTGCTAAGACCTGAGTAGATTTGTTATTTCTTCCATTTTCTTCCCAAGGCATTTTTACTAGTATAAGAGTCATTTGGAACAGAAGTGACTTAAATTGCTTGTTTAACTTACTGTTTTAAGCTTACAGTTCCAGGTTACAAATCCTAAAAGGCATACTTCTGCTGTAAGATTCTGTGAGGGAGGAGTGCTGCTCCTGGTGTAAAACATGTAGGAAAGCCTGTAGATTGAAATGGTGATCATGGCATGTGCAGGGCAGGGATTCCTGAGGAGAACCATTCCCTCTCATGGTAAAAGGGGGAGTGGGGGCTTCTTCACTCCTGGTGGGGAGAGCCAGCAGCTGCCACACTCCTTCAAAATGCTCTTTGGAAGAGTGTAGGGCATCAGACTTGCCATAAAATAAAATCTGCAATTGCAAATCCCCTCTAGAGAAACACTGGTCATGGACACCTCTGTTTGGAAGGTCACAGGGAAAGTGAGAATATAAAGGAATTTCAGCTGCAATTTTAAGGATGAATGTTCCACCCTTATGTAGCCAAATACCAGATATGGGTATAGATTTTTTTTTATGTCCATCTTGGCATTATAAGAAAAAACTGAAATGCTTTCTTGGTGTAGGTTTTGCCAATAGGAGTGGAGCCACAGAAGTACAGATTGTTGTGTTATTTCTACAGCTCACCCTCTGTGGACAAGATAATGATGTGCTTCCACATTTAGCTGGGGGGAGGAAATAAAAATGTTTCTCAGCTCCTTGCAGCAATGATTGTGATGTGATTCCAGAATTCTAGAAATGCAGGTGGGGGCAGCACATCATCAGTGTGCACTCACCTACTTAAATGTGAGTGTGAAAAGCTGTGCAACACCAATAAATACAATAAATATGTTCAGCAGCAGACCCTTGATACACAGTGTGGGATATGCCATCAGTGTTGCATCACCCAGACAGCTGAAGCAGCTGGAACAAATGGGAGCTGTGTATGTGATGTTATATTTCACCTTAGAGTAAAACCCTGTTCCCCAAGGGAGTCTCATTCCAGAGTTCTGATCCATTTGAGATTGCACAATGAAACAGCTGAGCCATAGCTTGAGAAGTAAGATTTTTATTTCACTAAGCAGTACTACCTTGTGAGATATTTTTCTTATAGCTGTCTTTGAGGAGTGATATGCAGAAAGAGAAAAGCTGAAAACAGGTTCTTAAGTATTCATCTGAGGAATATTCAGCTGCTTCAGTTGATAGTGTTTGCAATAGATTTTGGAAATAGATGTGAACACCATGTTTCAGGTTTTGTATGAGTTGAACTTTCTGGAGGTCTGCCTGGTTAAATTTGGACTGATGGAAGTGGAATGGTGAAGGCTTTATCCTTCCCAGACAGACTGCTTCTGAATGCCCAGGGCAAGAAGCCTGAGGGATGCTACAGGCTCTTCTGAAAATCTTTCAAAAGAACAGGTGTGAGAGAAAACACTGAACTTTTAAAGTCATTCACCCTGCTTAGAAAATTCAGCCCAAAAGCTGCAAACTATTAGAGTTACAAGCACTTGAAAGTGAATTATTGTACAGAGTATGAACCAACCTGAAGAAGACATGCTATGCTTTCCTTCCTCATAATCTTAAATTGGCAACTTAATTAACTCCTTCCTTTCAGAGCACAGCATTTGCACAGTCTGAAGTTTCTGGGTGGATTTTGTAATAATGTTTAATTAATGTCATCCTGCAGCTTTAGATTGGGGAAGGCTTGCTTTTTAGATGTCTAATATATAAGATTTAATTAAAAGGCTGAGTGCAAGCTAATTTTACTTTGGGGTTTCTGCAAAGTACACCTTTCACTGAGTGCACTGAATAAACAAACACTGTTTTTGTAACAGGCAAGAGATTCATGGGGTAAAATATGCTCTCTGCCAAGGAGAGGAAATCTGCCTGTTGAATGAACTAAAAGCTGTCAGAAGTGATCATTAAAGGAATGTTTTGGATGGCATTTTCCTTTTTTAAGTCTACCTGAAATGCTCTTCTATCCAGCTACCATAGAGAAAAAAGGACAAGCTATAGAGAGTCAGAATTTTAAGCATTTGCAATTAAAAAATGTTTTGCAAGACACTCAATCAATGAGGTCTGTATGATATTTGTAACAAACAAATATTCCTTATATGAAGAACAATTTCAGAATTGTAATCATAAACATTTGTGTCAGTTAAAATTCTTGGAATGTAGGGATGGAATATGCTGGGACTGATTCCCCACCGCTGCCAACCCCAATTAAATATTGGTGGAACTGGTTGGCTTTGATCTCTGCCCAAAGATTTAACTACAAGCCTTGCAGCCATACATTATCAATGAAGCTTTATCTCTGCTCCAGAGGGTGTGTTCTGAAAGCAAAATGCTGCTTTTTCTCCTCTGAATTACATCTGAGGCTTTGCATGGTAATTGATATTGACTAATTTAACATAACAATAATACTAGATTATTCTTTTTGCTATTATGGTTCCTTATTTTTAATAGGGACAAAGTTCCTTACAATCCTGAAGGCACCTATGGGTTGCTAAACAAACACATTGATTACAGTTCAGAACAGCATACTCAGTTTTACATAATATAAAATTAAATTAAGCAACCTGTATGGCTATAAGTGCAGTTATTAAATAATTTTATATAACAGGGTGAAAGATTTTGGTACCTAAAGCGAATGTTTGGTTGCATCTGATTTTGGAAATATCTTGTTTTGAGTCAGTGTGTGGTATAGTTTCTGTTAAATTTAGGGAAAGTATTTTCTATTTAATTTCCTAAATTACATATTAATGCCATATAAATCTGATATTGAAAGCTAAAATTTAGTCTAAACAGTATCAAAGTTTGTATAGGGATAAGGGAAGGGAAATGAGCAGCCCAAGTTTGGGATGTCAGGGAGAACACACTCAGAGCTGATTTCTAAGCTTTGTTTTACTGTGGGAGCCAAAAGCTGTGTTGAAGGAAAACTTCTGATATTCAGGGATTAATATCTCACATCTCAATGACTATGTGTGAAAGCTTGGTCAATCCTCATCACTCCTAATTGGAGCAGGGAAGTGTCAAGTCATGATTTTAATACCAGGACTTTAGGTTTTGCCATTTAAGTTCAAAGTTTAATTAGAAAGCTTGGATATGGAGATGGAAGTTTAAAAAGTACCAAGTAATTTGATTGTCTCAGGTTTACCTAAAATTTCATACAATTAATTTTCTTACACAAGGAACATTTTGCCTAAATTTTTTACAGAAGGTAGAACTTGCAGATCTTAGCAGTGTAGAGAACGCCCTAAGAAATTTTGTGGTTTGTGTTAAATTTGCCTCTTCATTTTGAAATAATTATTTGTTGCAAAAATCTTTCTCTGCTGGCAAAGCTAAAATTTTTTATGTAGGTTTTTGCAGTAAATATCAAACAGTAATGTGAAGTCATATTTTTCATTGAAAGGAATACCAACATTTTTAAATAAATTGTTAAATAACTAATCAATTTTCACATTAAAGCAAGACAATGTCATTTCACATATTTACATTTAAGGGTTGAGCTAACCTGAAAAAGCATAAGCTTTTTGAACTGGAAAAGCTTATATTATGTCAAAGACCTGGAATTTTTTACCAGTTTTGACTGTTTACATCAAGCATGTTGATCTTCAAAAAAAAGATAAATATGCTTTGCAAGCACAAACATCTGCTTTTGTGAATGTGTGTTTAAAAAAAACACTGTCACAGTAGAGAAGGGTCCTAATAAAGGAGAGGGGAACATGACAGGGGAAAGAAGACAGGAAAACTGTAGGCCTGCTTTTTGCAGGGGCAGATTGTGCAAAATAATGATTAAAAAGTAACATTTTATTTTTTTCTGGAGCTCAAACACTGAGAATTTTATATGGGAGCACTGTGGGATTTTCCTCCTCAGTCTATAGGTCTGATCATCATCTGAACTGCTTTCAAGGAGTAGGAACCTCCCCTGTACTCAGCCCAAAAGATTCCATCCTGGTACTTGCTCCTGTAGTGGCCCCCTCGGTACCAGACCCCGTTGAGGTTGGAGTGGGCACAGGCGTTGTACCACCAGCCACCCTTGTGGAAGTGAGCACAGTTTCCTGTGGAACAGAAGGACATAGGTGAGCTTCAGCTTTAAGCAGTACAAATGGAGGTTTGCTAAATGTTCTCATATTGTGCCTTATTCACAGAGGCAGCTTGGAAGTATTTCATAGCCTGTTGTGGTCGCAGCTTGCTGTTCTTGCTAAATTATGAATTCTGGTGTAACAGCAGCTGGAGGGGGGGTTGTTGACATGGTCTTTAATGTGACAGCTGAAAATGAAGGAGAGAGCTCCTCTCAGCCTGCCAGCACTGCTTGTCCATGAGCTAACACCCAAGGAACTCGGGCTATGTGCTGTTTAGAAATACTCCAGCGGAAGCAACGTGAGTTGATACAGCCCCGAGCAGCACGCGGGGCCAGGGTTCCACAAAGAGCTGCTTGTAACTTGTGTTTTTACTGTTACAGGCTTGTCTAAGAGTTTGCAGGATTTGTCCAGCTTTATGGTTATTGACAGCTGAGGAAAGGCAGTTGAAGTATTGCACTCCCCAAGCTTCTTGTTACTGTAAGGGGAAAAACTGGCGGAAATGAGAGAAAGGGAGCTTTGAGGAGTGCAAAAACCAAATGATGGGCCCCTTTCTTAAGTATTAACCTCTGCACACTTGCAGTTCCTTTCATGCTCTTCATAGGCTTTACTTCCTGGTGATTCTGTGGTGGCAGGACTACTCAGACATCACCTGGACAGATGCTCTGATTGCAGTCACATGCAAGTGATGAGCTAAACAGAAAGTTGCTGCAGAGTATTGTCAGTGAGGGTGATAGATTTTGAATTTCTGACAGGTGTAGGGGCTCAAAGGGGGCCCTGCCAATGTGACTTTTATCATCATTGATTCAAAGCATCTCCCAATAGGATTATTTTACCAGAATTTACACACTTTTTTGGTCCTATGCTCTATTTTTTGAGGCAGTGTCACTGGTGGAACACACTTAACTCACTTTTCACAGGCACATGGCTTTGCTTACCTGAATACATGTCCCTGTCCCTGTCCAGTGTTGTGAATTGCTTCCCATTGTGCCATATCATGGAGTCTCCAGCGTTGCCCTGGTAGGTGCCCAGGCGCAGGCGGTAGAATTCGCTCTCGGGCTCCAGGCGGAAGCTGCTGTACTCTGCATACACCTTCTTGTTGCTCCAGTCCTCCAGCTCAATCAAGAGTCTGTAATTATCCTGATTGGTGAGCATGTAGATGTTTTCCAGTCCCAGCCAGTACTCTCCATCAATGTTCCCAAATCCTTTCTGAACAAAAGAAGATGGGAAGGTGCTGTTAGCTTAGTTCTCTGTGTTTGTTAAAACATTCATCGGCACGAGTGTGATAAACCAGGGGAACTTGGTACTGAAAGCCTCTAAACTTCTGACTTCAACCCATGCTTTTAAGTGCTTTATTTTGCTGCACTGGGACTGCTAAGCTGCAGGAGATGCTGCCAGCACCATTAATGGTGGCAAAACATCTCTGTTCTTGCTGTCCTCCTCTTTTTAAGGTAAAGGGAGGGAGAATAAGGAAACTGAAGCAATATTTCTTGACAAAGCTAAGAGGATTTGTAATAATGGATGAATAATGGAATTTTAGGTTATAATTCCAGGTTGAAAAAGGTATTTTTGATTGCACAGTCTCAGCATTCAAGGCAATTAACTTCTTGTTGCTTCTGTATTGCAACTGGCGTTGTTTCTTACTTGAATCACACTATTCCTCTGTGTTCTTTACAGCATTTATTAGAAATTAAATATAAAGACATATTTTCTTTCAAATCACTACCAGCACAGTAGCTCTGAAGTGATAGTTCCTATCTGCTGTCTGCTTTCCCCAAGTAAACCAGTATTGTTAATGTTTGGTGTTGCATTAGGTTCAGGATGTTTGTGATTGCTTTATAAGGCACTCCACAACTGCCTTTAAACACTTTAGAACATTTAACGACTCCAAAATCAACCATGGACTGCTCTGAGAAGTAAAGGCTTTGCATAATTATTTGTTTGACTGATAATTGAATAATAGTTTCAGATATTATTGATTTAGGGATTAATATTTGGATCACAAAATTCCAAAAATGCAAGAAGCTAAAATCCTCATGTTAATTTGTGTCCTATATGTAATTACTAATATTAATATTATTGCTGTCATTCACATTAGCCCAAACAAATGATTTTTCAAATTTCCCATTTAGCATGTAATTCCTCCAGGGCAGCATCCTCTTGTCATCCTAGAGATTCTGCCTGCTAGTGCCCAATATCACAGCAACACACAGCAATGTGCTTCCTTTCACCAGCCTGACATCTTTAAGTTTCTAACCTAAATTAATGGGTGGAAATTACTTCCTTTAATTCATTATTAGAACTATTTTTAAGCTAAGCCCCCAGTCCGGCAAATCTCTTAGTGTGTTTAAATGAATAATTTTGCTGGCTGAGTTGCTTATTCATAAGGGAGACAAATGAAGCTTTACAAATACTCACTGTAGTTCTCAGTGTGTTAATAAAAATCATGTGTTCAGTTAGAACTTTGTAATTAATGACTTCCCAGGCACTGTCTAGAATAACATGTCTCCCAGTTGTGTTGTGCATTACAAGCCCGGGCTGTCTCAGCCAGGTTGGTTCATACAAAGTTAACTGTGCATGGAGGGAAATGGGACATTCTCACTGAAATGTGTTTGCCTCTGAGGGATGATCACTCTTTTCAATTATCTCTCTTTGCCCACTGATGTTCTATGTTCTGGAATTTACCTTGTAACTGTCCCAGTTCCTGAAAAAGTTGACAGATCCATCTGTCCTCTTCTGGATAACTGCCCATCCTCCAGGGTCCAGGCTGTTCTCACACCAGAGTTGCATTGGTTCGTTGCTGTTTTTGGGTTTGATCATGTAAATCCCACTGTTGGCATGCCCAGCTTCCCTGGCTTGTTGGCAGTCTTTGAATGGACCTTTTGGAGAAGAAATACTGTAAGCCTCCAAGATTGGCTGTGCAGTGCCCATTGTCCAGGAATATTTTGTAATGGAAAGTCAGGAATTCAGTTAAGGTATAAACCACAGAAAACAGTGCAAAAAGTTCCTCTCTGAGATTAATTGTATATATAAATAAACATGTCAGTATCCTCTCTCCATGTGTTTTGGAACAAAAATTTCATTTTGCTAAATAAATAGTGGACTTTGGTTACCAGCACCTGATTTTTTTGTCTGCTGTGGCAAAGATTGATAATGAGAAACAATATGATTTTTTTGTCATTCATTTTTTTCTTCTCTTGTGCAAAAGGCAGACATCAATTTCCTTCATTTTCTGGTGCACCAGTTTGAAACTAGTGTAAGTAAAAACCAAAACAAACCCAGGATACCCAACCAACCCTACCTATTTCTGAATATATACATAGTTTGAGAGCTGCTATAAGAAATATCTACTGCCAGAGACTACAGACATGGAATTCAGAGAGAATTCTTATGCTGCATTATTTTCTGCTGTTATGTACTGAGGCAGTTTGAGGATTTGGCTGTTAACTGTGGATAGGACTCTTCTGAAGTTTCCTGTGTCATCCTGGTGTGATGTGTGTAGATGGATACTGATGAAGGGAATAAGCAAACACTGGAGAAGGATTTTTGAGCAGCTAAAAGGATTCACATATTTGTTCTCAAGGCTGTGGTTGCACAAAATTCCCGTTGCTGTTGTGAGTGCTGCTTGAAAGCTCTGTTTTAGTCCATGTGAATGGTGGTTTTGCAAATAATACTTAGGGAAGACCATCTGGTAATTCTCTGAGAAGGATGCAGCTTACATGTCTCTGAAAACCTTGCCTAGTTTGCCTTTCAATTTTTGGTAATGTTTTTATTTTCTGCTTTTTAGAAAAAAAATTTGTTTGTGTGTCATTGCTTCAGTTGGTTTAGAGAAACTGGTAATTTACTAATGAAAAGCAAAGTGTGTTCTGATGACTAGTTAGTGGTGGATGCCCTAAATGTATTTGAAAACTCAGCATATCTGAAAATAAATTAGCTACAGCTTTCCTTTCCTTCCAGAGGGTTTATTTTCTCAAATCTTCTTGGAAATTCAGAGAGAACCCATCAGTCACAGAAACAGCTCATGTGCAAAACAGCATAGAAAAAATCTGTTGAGGTTATTCTTTAATCAAAAATAGAGGCTGAGGGAAAGGCACTTCACTACAGATTAAGCTTGTGTGACAAAAGCAAGCTGAAAATTGCATTTTTTTAAGATTTTCAGGTAGTAGTTGTCAGTTGGACAACTATGTAATTAGCAAGAAATCTGTACAGCATAATGAGAGTGCATGAAGCTCGTGTGTCTAATGAGGAGTACTCAGAGCTTGTGGCTGTGACAGGAATGTCACAGACACTGAGCCATTGCTCCAGGTATTGTGCACTGTCAGCATTGGGATGGCTTTGTCACCCAATGACACCTGAGCTGTGGCACCTCAGGAAAGAAATCCTGCAGCTTTGGTATACAGGTGCTTTTTGCCCCTCTTGTTCACAATTAAAATTCCCAGAGTTTGTCCAGGGGATTGGTAATTTCCTGGACTAAGCTGGGTCTCATTCTCATTCCCTGATCTCTCTGAAGTAAATTTGAATTCTCTATAACTGAACAGGGATGTTGTTCCAGAAGTATTTTTGTCAAACAATTACTGCTTTAGGAAAAGTATAAACAAATAAAGCTCATATTTTGTAGTGTTAATTCAACACTAAGAATGGTTTAATTCGATCTGCTGTTACCTGTGTGTTATCCCACATGTTTATTGGTGGAGGATGACTTGAGCATTTGTTTTTTCCCCATGAGAGACCCAAGCAGATGTTTGGGGTCATTTTAAGCAGTTTTTAAGGCAGACAGAATTGTACCAGTCTGTTTATGTAGTACTTGGATCACTTCTGGAGTTCAGCTGGCTTTAAGTTCACAGGATACAGCTCATGTGCTTTGATGCTCAGCTTTGTCTGCATGTATTAACATAAATTAATGTTGTGGTAGAGGTAAGAGAGTCCTGCTCTGAATGTAAGGAAATCCAACATATCCCATAATTTTTTGGTGTATAGCCTTGAATCTTTTTACAGAAGTAAATTCTTTGTTAGGTATAATTATTTCATGTTCACGTTATAAGAACTGATCTTGTTCAGGAAATACTGAGGTTTGTGAAAGTGAGAGATTCTCCATAGTGCTGGTGTGGGTGGAGGTCTGATTGATGAAAAAAGCATGAATTTCTGTTTAAAATCTTACAGGTTTTATAATTTATGTCAGGATTAAGTATCTCATGCACATCTAGTCTTTTGTAACAGTCTGTGTATGTAAGTCACTGAGACAGTGATAAGTCAGAAATACTCTGAGAAGATATCTGTTAAATATTTCACTTCCAAAATTGTGGCTTAGATGTATGATTCAGTGCAGATCATATTCTGTGCTAAATTAAATGAAGTAGAGAAGGAAAGTGATTAAATATTTAAAGTTGAAAGCTTGATAACTTGATGGCTGAATCCCATTTTGAGATGCCAAATGTTATCTTGAGCAGATGATACAGAACTTGTGCTTGTATAAGCTTCATAAGAGAGGATTTTGGGGGCATTAGTAGAAGAAAAGTCAACAATAAAATTGGACATATATTAAAAAAATAAGGTATGTTGTTAACCAAGAGGTATTAGAAATTATTGTATGGGGCAGTGTCTAATTTTCAAGTACTTAACTAACTTGAAACTGCTTTTTGCAAGAATAGTGGCACTAATTCTGGGGATGAGTGGTTATTGTTCCAAATAAGGTAATTGTGACAACTACAATTCACAGGTACGTTGACCTTCCTCCATTTTTAGAGCAATTTTTGTACAAAAGAACCACTATACTCAGAAAACAGAACTTCATCCTTTTGTTCCTCATATATTTTGCCTTTTACTCTCCACTCACAATATTCAGATGCACATTGACCTTTCTGACCCATTTGCTGCATGCAAGTATTTGTGAGGAGGTGCAGGTCTTTAACAGGCCTGTTTCTAATTGGGACTGTCTGGTTTTCATTGGTCTTTTTTGACATCTTTATACTTTCTAAAAAATCTCTGTCTTTTAACCATAAAGATGTTTCTTCTATGATGTGGTTTTGATTCTGTGCAACATGAAATCTGTTTACCTTAATTTTAAAAACCAGGGATAGTAACTGGGCATTGTGTTGGAATGTCCCAGTTTTGGTTGTGATGACTGATGCTCTAGCTGTAGCAATTCTCAACCCTCCTTTTCCCAAGCACTGCAAGAAACACTTAAACTTCCAACTCAAGAATCTAGTGTTAAAGGAAGGTGAATAATGTTACAACAAGCGTCCTAAAATTTCTGTGCGTTCTCTTCCAAAAACGGATTCAAACTCTGAACTCCTAGGGATGGAAGGCTCAGTGAACACCAGGGTAGATAATTCAGAGGGCAATACTTAGTGCTGTTGCCTCTTTTTGGATGTGCAGCAGGCGTGAATTGAGAAAAAGATGTGTTGAGAGCAGAACCTGGAAAGGAGGCTTTGCTGGGAAGCAGGAAGTCGTGGCTTTTTTTAGAATTCTGCTTGTGCTGTCTGACCAGACATCAGCCAATGCTTTGATATGGACTGTTTCCTTTCTGTCATGATGTGCCACTGAAATTCACATGACATCTGGCATTTTGCTTGGGCTCATGCCTGAATTTTCTGCAGACCTTGAATAAAAATAGTTGTTCTTTACATCAGCAGCTGGTTGGGTGTAATGCTGCAGAGCAGTCACAAATGAATGTTTGGCTTCATCTTAGGAACCAAGTTCAACCTTCAGCTGTGACTAAAGGCAATTTGAAAGAAACAAAAACAAAACAGCCACCTAAACCCAAAACCCCCCACCAAACCCTTTTGCTGTGCTAGCAGAAACCAAGAGCAAGCATTCAAAGGGAAGTCTGAGAAAAACTTGTTTTTCTGAATCCTTGAATTTTTTTAAAATAGCAATTCTGTCAAAATTTCAATAAAGTGAAAAATCTGATAGAGTTCAGGGCAGCTCAGAGGTAGTTAATTGTCTTGGCACTAATTTTGATTCCTAGTGATACATGAATTTATCTAATGACCTAAAGAGTGTAACATGTGAAGATGGGATACCGTGTCCTGAATGTGTTTTCATAATATTTATGGTTTTAGTTTAACTCGCCATCCCCCACTGACAGCAGGTTACTGGGAGTGTAGTTACTGATTTTAAATTTTCAAAGCTGAGTGCCTCTGATTGGATCCAGCCTCAACTGAATTATGCTTTCAAACTTGCCACTCTTGAATATTTCAGCTGAACACTTAGAGACTCATTGCATTACTGTGTTGGTGGATTTAGATGTTCATTTTAAAGCAGGTCAGAATAGAAGGATGAAAATTCTTCTAATAGAATTTTCTTCAAATGTAAGTATAAAAGACAAAAACTTGAAATTATTTAATTTGTTTATGATTAATTAGTTCCTCTTATTCACTCTTGCTAACTTCTGTAACATGTAGATAGCAGGCATCATCAAAGAAATGGGTATTAGAAAGTTTATGCTAATACTGAATTTTCATATTTTCATAACTCAAATCCTGCTGCAGAGAGAAACCCCAACACATTGTGACTTGAAGGTGAGTATTGTTCAGATTGAATTTCTGAGTATTGGCCATTTCAACAAATTCATCTTAGGGTGGTTTAGGTCAATTGGCAAACTAAAGCTTTCCCTGGGATGTAGAAGGGGGAGAGAAAATCAGGAGCAAGAGCAAGCTGTACCAGTACTTTAAATTCTTCCTTCTGTTTCTATGGTCAGGTGCTAGAACCCTGGTTACTGGGAGTTTTAGACTTTGTGCTGACAGGCACTGACCCCCAAGAGAACACTCACTGCATTTGACCTGAGGCCCTGGAGAAGGCTTCCAAAATGGAATGATAGAACTGGGATTGGGGGTGTGGAGTTTGAATAGAAGTGTGTTATCACATGGTAGAAAACTTAAGAGTTTAAGGTTTTAGACTATAGTAATATATATAAAGCAAGATGGAGGTTTTAGGGCAGAGGCTGGTCCTTCCTCTTCACCTTCTTCTCCATGGGTATTTGGGTGTAATTGGATAAAAAAATCCACATTGCAGGCCACAGGTGGTTGGTTATTGGGTTAAAAGTAAAAATAATTTAGGTGTCATTTCTTAATTGGACAGTTGATCCTTAAAAAGCCTTGTAGAGAGAGAAACACAGCTCCATTTTTAGTTTGTTAGAGTGAAGTGCTGTAGAACTCACACTTAATAATAGAATATAGATAAGAACTTATAGTAAAAGCAGGGCAACCCCAACGATGGGGGAGTGATGAGGAGGACTCCATCTTATCAGAAGGCTAATTAATTACTTTATTGTACTGTATTATTCTATACTATATTACACTATATTACACTGAATCTGCCAAGCACTCAACTCAACTGTTCTCAACTGCCCAGAATCTCATGACTGTCAGCTGACAGTCCTGACACACACATGTGGATTCAATTGGTCAATGATTCAAAACACCACCACCAGAATCCAATTACCAATTCCCTTCAGGTGAACAATCTTCCACAGTGCATTCCACTTGTGAACAACAAGAAGAGCAGCAATTGAGATAAGAATTGTTTTTTCTCTCTCTGAGGTTCAGAGAATGTGAATCCCAGAAAATATCCTTGGGAAGTTGTGCCTTGCTTTTCTCTGTGAAGAGAAATGCGGCTACAAGGACTAATAAACATCTGAGTCCAAACAAGAAATACCATCTCACACTTTTAATCCCAACCCTGGCAAAAAAGAGGCAAAGACTCAGCAGTCGGGACAGTTTCCCTCAGAAGTGGAGAGATCTCAGGTTAGATAAATAGCGACAGGTAACTCACCCTCGTTGATCAGAGCCAGGGGGGGCACTCTGAAAGGACTCTTTGTGGGAGCAGTGGCAGGGTCGGGCGCTGGCCGTGCGTCCCTGTCCCGGGGGTAGCCGGGGTCTCTCTGGATCTCGTTGCCCCCCAGCAGGACAGGAGTGTAGGGCTGGCTGTTGGGGATGTGCTGGGGCACCACCTGCACCAGGGGCGGGGACCCGTGGGGGTCCTGGCGCGAGAAGATCCTCAGGCACTGCTCCTCCAGCAGCGAGATAGTCACAGACTGGTTGTTCACCAGGTCAGTTAGCGCCGCGTATTTTACTTCCAGCTCCTTGTATTTTGTTGCCATCTTCAGCATTTCTGTGGTAACATTAAGGACTTTGTTTTCCAGCTGGGAAAGCTCGAGCGAGTTGTCGCGCTTGCGAATGATCTCGTGCAGGAGTTGCATGTACAGTTGGGTCACACGAGAGTTCATGTTCCGACTTTCTTTCCTCAGTAATTTCACTTCGTTCACAATGTTTCCGTCCACATCCACCACCAGCTGCAAAATGTCGATCTCCCTCTTCTGCTTGGACAGCACATCCTTCAGGTTCTCAATGTCCATCCTGGTGACTTCATCTTTCCTGTTCCCAGTGCCCGGGTCGTTCGTGTTCACGCAGATTGGCCCTGTGATTTTTTGTTCTGGGACCAGGAAGGTGTAACCACATTTCTTCCCTTCCTCTGGTCCGTCTGCTGAGCGAGGCTGCCTCTGCTGGGGCGTCTTGCTCGGCGTGGATTGTTCCGCACAGCGCCCGATGGACAGCAGCAGGAACAGCAGGACACCCAAAGCCCACTTCAGTATCTTCATTGTAAAGCAGGTGTGACCACTGCCAGGAGCCTGTTGAACAGATTAAAGATTAAGTCATCAAACCAGAGGTGTTACTAAAGCTCCTGGACTTTTAAACTGCCTAAACTGATGGGTTTGCCTTGCTTGTTTGTATGTAGCCAAGCCTTTGGCATCTCTTCCTTGGAGTTAGATTCCATTCCATTGGCTGGCTGTTTTGAGCAGGAAACACTATAATTTAGATACAGGGTTTAGTAAAGGAGTTGTTGCAATGGGTAACTTTTCAGAAACATTGTTGTGCTTAGATCCTCCCTTACCAGATCACTCAGATCTGTGCTCACTGCAATTACCTGCACAAGGTTATGGAGCATGGAGTGCTTGCAAAATACCTTCCTGGAAGGGAAGTAGGGAGATGAAATTATTTGTATAAATGTTGGAATTTGGATTGTATAAGCTTTTCTGCTCCTCCTTTAGCTTTATATATCAATATATATGTATAATTTGTTAAATAGTATGTACATACTGATTCATATATATACCCATTTTTCAAGTTTATATATACAGAATTTTAGTAGGCTTGAAAAATGCATCTTTGAGACTATTTTTGGACATGAGTGTTAGGCAGGAGATTAGATATTGTTGCAAACATCAAAAATTACTTATTCAAGTGACTTGAATTTGTAAGGAGAGCTGTTTGCTCTGCATATCGAGTCCCTATTTAGTTGCCTTGAGATGAACACTTAGAATCGTTGTTACACTATTTTTGTGTCTTTCAAAACATCTTTATCCAAATAATGCTGAAGTATCAGGTATGTTGTCATTATAAAAACCATACTGAAGGGTTTCATTCCTCTTTTAAAGAAAACTAGGAATTTCTTTTAACTCTAAAGAGTTAAAGTGCAGCGATAAAGATCTGGGAATATTTTCTGAGACCTGTTTTTTAGCTTTAGATATTTGAGATGATAAACAAAGGTAGCACTTAAAGAAAAAAAAGTCATTTTTTATTATTTGTTTGCTTTGTGAAGCAAATCACTTCTTTTCTCAACTGTTGATCTGGCTTTCCTTTCCAGCCCCCTTTTGCCAGCCTTTGGATAGCCTTTCTACAGTGGCCTTTGGATAATTACAAAGAGTAATACAGTAAGAGCAGGCAAAGTTAATTATCCTTCTGTTCCTGCTGGGTCCAAGTTGAAGTGCATTTGGCAATCCTGACACAGTGATCCCAGAGGAGAGCAGAGCTCTGCTGCTTCCTTTACATTCACATTACAAATGAGAAGGTGACTTTTGGGTCAGGTCCCTTTTCCCAGTTCTGTTACTGGCTTTAATATTATTGTAACAAATGGTGTCTGCTCAGCCTCAGCAAACCTGTCAAGTCTTTGTTTTTTGGCTTCACTAAGAGCAGTGGTTGCAAGCTTTAAACCATGATGTACATGCAATCAGGAGTTAGAGCTAGGAATTCTGCTTAAATGTTTGGTAACTTTTTGTTTGTCTGATGGTTGTATTGCAAGCCCTGCTTCTATAAAGGGAAGAAGACGCATTTAACATGTACTAAAAATCCTTTCTTACCCTGCATAAATGGAGGGAGCACCATAAATTTGAGGAGTTTATTTTAAAATACTTATCTTAGTTTGCAGTAATAGGTATTTTTGTGTCTACTATCAGAAACAAAACTTAATAATTTTGTTAATATTTCTCTGCTGAAACTGTAACTTCTGTTTAAAGAAAAAAAAGTTAGGAAAAAGTATCACTTTTCTCCAGAGCTGGTTGTGTGTTTTTCTTTGGTAATTTCAGGCATTTAAAATATTAATCACTTGGACAGTGCTCAGATTTGGTAGTTCATTAGGTTAAATGTTCACATGCATCATGGGAAGCACATGGGAAACTGGTCTCTGTGTGGTTTCCAATTTGACAAAGATGAGCTGAATTAATTGTCTGAAGTTTAAAACCTCTTTGCATCTCCTAACTAATTTTTTGATACTTTTGCATTTACTATTTGCAGATTGAGGGAAAGAGAGTTTGTGGCATATGCTTGAGGATGAAGCCATAGTACAAGTCCAGTATTTTGCTGTTTTCATTTCACAGGGTGTAATAGGTACCTCATAGTCCAAGACAATTAATAAGATTTTAGTTCTTGGGAACTTTTGAAGACCCAACAGAGTTACTGAAATAATGAATGGCTGGGGATTTTTCCCCACAGCAGCACATTTCCCCCCTGAAATACACAGAACTTAAATTAATCTTTCAAAACGAATCACTTTGCAACACAGTCCACATTCTAGCCATGTATTCTGCTGCAGTCTGCTTTCTGCATTTCTTTTTATATTAAATGTGTTCATTTTGAACTTTTACCCTTATGTATTAAAGTTTCAAGCTCTGTGTCTATACATGTGCTGTCAGACCATTAAATGAATTAAGGGGTCTAATACAACATAGCCAAATCCAGCAGCTGCATAAGATTATGCCCTAGAATTTGAAATTCAGAAATATCTTGTAGTGAACTGAGACATTCAGATAAGCAGGGATGAATTCCTTCTGAGAATCTACCTGGTAGGAATGTATATGCTTCCATGGAAATGCTGATGTTGAAAAAATTAAGTGTTTTAAAATATTGCTTGTCAAGTTTGAGCAGCTTAATGCCTAACTTGTTCTACAATAATAGGTTCTGAGCAAGATATTTACCTGGAGTTTTAATCAGCTTAGAAGGAAATGAAAATACTGTTTCAGAAATTTCCTGATGTTCTGGGCAAGCAGCTTAAAAAAATAGGAGCTGTTTATCCAAAGTATCCCAGAATGATAGCCTAATATGTAAGACCTAAATGACAAATTAAAATTAGGGTTGGGAAATAGTTTTAGAGTTTTTAGATCAGACACATTTTGTGCTGGATCCCCAGGTTTAGGTGTTTAGGTAGTGGCAGAACTGTTAGGGGATAGCTGAGCTCAGGGATCAGCTCGGGCCGAGCCAATTCCAACAGTCCCTGAAGGTTTGGAGTCACCTCTGCTGAGTGGAGCTGCTGGTGCAGACCTTGGAAATGCAGCAAATATCTTGTGATTACAGATACCATTGCTTTGAAACACGTTATCTAACTCTTTATTATTAAATGTCATGTTTTTTAGATGAGAACAAACTGTCATTTCAGCTGGTTCTGTCGTGTTTCTGTGCCACCCAGTTTTGGGCCTCAGATTTCTGGAGAAGTTTCCTTATGTATGTGCTGGCCTGCTGATGTTTTATAGCTTCTGCAGAAGAAAATGTGCAGTTATTCACAGCAACACAAGCTTCTTCATCAGCTTGTCAGAAACACTCAGAGCTGCAGACAGGGCTTCAATACTATTTTATATTTAATGCCATTTCTTTTGATTTCTTTCTTTTTCCAGAGTGATCCCTGTGCAAAAAAAACCCAACTTGCTTTCAAAATTAGTTTTTGATTTATTACTTTAAAAAGTGTTTAAAGGTCCAAAATTCCAATTCAAAAGAGCAAAACAAGCCAGTAAGTTCTATTTTTAACTGCTGTGACACAGACTGTGTTACCCCCCCTAGAAATATTGTAATCACAAGTACAGAATTGCATAGATCAGGATGTGGGGAAGCTGGTATATATTTGGCATTTTTTAGCTTTCTGCCCAACAAACTATTTGTTCTTTGTTGTACTGCTGTGAGTCATGTTCAGCAGGATGTAAAATTTGGAAACCCACAACACAAATTGGAATCTGTTCTTCCAGAGCTGACAAAGGCTCGTTCTCCCTGGGCAGTGTAGGGTGATATGGGTGAATGTAACAAAGCTGTTGCAGATAAATGAGAATATAGGATTCCTTTTGCATGAAAAATGCAGTATCACTACTTATCTGTATTCCAAATATTTATTAAGAGAATATGGTCAAGTGATAAATGCCAGCAGTGCCCTCTTACGTGTAGCAGGAAGAGAAACAGACTGGGTTCTTTAGGAAAGTAAATTACAATGCTGAGACTGAAGATGCTCTGCCCATGATAGCAGCTAATCAGGGAGCTCAGTTATTGATGTTACACAGACTTCATTTTCTGTTGAGCTTTGCCTTAGCAGCTGAAATCAATAAACCCAGCTGTGTTCCCCTATGTCTGCACAGGCTAAGTGAGGATTTTTGCAGATTTTTTTAGCTTAAAGCAGGGTCCATGACATTAGAAGTAATACTAAGGTGGAGAAAACCCTCTTCCTATAGGGGAAATGTTCCCATGGATTTCAGTATATCTCTGGATTTAAGTTACTTCTCCCTATATAAACAAGTGCTTTTCCCTCTGCCTCTGCTGAAATAACAGGATTACTTTCAATTGTATTGACTGGGATCCAGGAATAATATGTTCTTGGGTTTTGTTCATCAGATATGTGATGTATTGAGTCACAGAATTCTGTTTCAGAGATTGCCATCAATCTGATTCCTTTTAGGAAAGGCAATCTAAAAATCTTCAGGGGGTTTTGAGGTTGTCATTGAAAATGTGCCCCTTTTAAAAATGATAACTTCTTAGAAATTCTCTGCAGAAGAGATTTATTAATCTTGTCACAGTAGATATTCTGAAAGCACAGCACAATTTCACAGCATTTCCAGATTTTTTGGTGAAGTTTTTTTAGCATGGGGGTTTGATTCCTTTGATTTGTTGGCAGCCACTCTGCGTGTGCATTGTTTGAACAGGCAGGTACAATGCACTGGTGCATTTTGTTGGAATTGTGTGATTTGGGGCTCCAGAGTTCTGCTTAGAACAGATACTGAAGATATTAAGCATCCAGTTATGCTTGCTGTAGGAAATTGTGCTTCATTCATTGGTGTATAAATTTTAAGGATCAAACCAATAGGGCACGCTAGAAAACACAAAGCCCAATAAAACAATAACTAAAACTCAGCAGAGCCATGTAGTTACTGCTAAAGTTTAAATGTTCAGAATTTCCATTCTTTTTAGTAAGTTCCTTTAAAACTTCAAATAGTATATTTTTTCACTGTACTTCAGATCATTCTTTTGGCAGCAGCATAATATTAGTATTGCATTATTTGTTTTAAAACAAACATTTGAAAATTTGAACTCTAAAGTTGGAAGGCAGCAAAGGAGAGAGAGTTAAAACCTTGTATACAGTCAGTTTATTGCTTTAAAATTATTGACTCAGCTGTTTTCATTTGTGGAAGGTTTAGGAATTGTTCTAAGCAGTGTAGATCAAGCCCTTGGCTGATGATGAATGAATGGAGCCTGGTGTCCAAAGCACATTATGTACTTCAAAGTGGGGTTGTGTTGTTGTTTAGATTATTTTCTCCTCCTTATGTAAATCAGCACAAAAGGATAGTAAGGAAAAGGGCTCAAGAACTTGGAAAGGATCCATCTTTCTTGTTTATCAAGACTGCTTCAGACTTTTTTCCTCTGGTAGCTACTAAATCTTAATTAAGTTTGTCTTTTGTAACACTTTGTCTCTCCTTTTAGCATCAGCCCCTTCATTCTCTCTTACCATGTCAGGCAGCTCTGAGTTTGTAAATGCAAATACATCACTGAAGTTCATTTGCATTGTTCTGGATTATTTACTGTACTTTAATTTTCAAGTCAGCATGAAGAAAGTTTTCTATGCTTTTCCCATGTATAAGCAAGTATTTTTTGGTTTTCATCTGTACTCTTCTGTTTGTAAACAACTTTCTTGTTTTAATCATCGATTAGCAGCAGCATTCTTTCTCTTTCTTCCACTAGTGAACTGTAACAAACCCCTCAATTTTCCACTTAATGTAGTGTTGCCTTGTACACTGCATTTCATGTTTATGAAATGGATCTTTATTTAGAAACAAACTGCAGTTCAATTGAGGTACAAATAAGGAAGGTATTGGTGCCTGTTGCAGCAATGCCTTTGGATTTTCAGCTGCACAATTGATTGTGCTACAAACTCGATTATGTTCTGAATCAGTGTCTGACTCTGGTTTCTTGGTTGGCTCTAGGACTCAGGCAACTTCAGCTCCTCAGTAGTACCATAAATAAAAACACACTTGAAACGATATACAATGATTGCTACTTACAGATGTGCATTGATTTGCTTGGGACTTTTCACAGTGGTTTTATTGAGGTATCCATTTTCTAGTTCTAGTAATGCTAGGTCTATGCTCTGGTGTTGGGTGAAATCCAGCTGCCCTGAAATCGATAGGATTTTTGGCTTTTGCCTTCTGGTAGGATCAGAATTTCACATGAGTATGTTCACAGTACCCAAATTACATGCTTAGCAAAGAATCTGGTAGTGCTAATTTTCTGTAACTGTAGATAACAATACAGCTAAACAACCGAAACTTGTTCATCCCTACAACTGGAACAAGTTAGTCTGTGCTCTTATGCAGTGCCTTTTTTAATTCTTTCCAAAGTCTACCAAATGCCACAAAAAGGAGTCTTAATGTTAGTTGTCAAATGTTTCTCAGGCTGAGAGGGATTTGTTTCCTCACAATTGTATGTTGAGGGAGATGCGTGTAGCATTCAGAAATAGCTCAAAATTAAATTTGTAAGTAAGAATAACTTTAAAACTTACCAAGAAATAAAGTCCTCCAGCTGGTTTGCTTCTGTGGCAGATGGAAAATCCAGAGGCCAAATTGCTTTTGCTTCCTATATTACCCGATGGTGTGGAGTGTTAATCTGCAGCTGGAGCTGAAAACTGCTTTTGTCTTTCTCTGTTAGATCCAAGCTGTATTGAGGAATTGGGTTTCTCCATACGATAACCAAGCTAACTAATCAGTTTAAAAAAAAAGAAAAAAAAGTAAATGCTCCAATATACGTTATTCCAGGAGAGAGAGAGAGAGAGATGTTTTTTGAAACTGCAGTGTTTAATTCTCACATGCAGAAGTGCTCTAACCAGCTACAGCTGACCCAGATTCCATATACATCACTTTTGGACAGTGTTTTTTTAAACAAACACACACTCGGCTCAGCCGTTCAGCCCACCTATGATGTCACCGCGAGCACTCAGAGAGCAGAAGAAACTCCTCCTTCGGATTTCCTATCCATACCCTCCAGAAAAGGAGGGGGTAGGGAGGCTGAGAAGTTAGGAACAAGGAAAGATTGTTTGCCAGTAGAAGGGAGGTACCATATGGCAACGGACTGTGCAAGAGTTCAGCAGGCAATTACAAATCAAACATTTTTACTATGCTGCCTAAAGATGCCTTTCAAGTTATTACAGTACTGGGCTTCATTTAGAAGAAAGATTCTTTCAGGCTGATAAAACTCGATTTGTGTTGCTGGGAATAAAAGGGGCAGGCTGGATACAACAGGAAAAATGAAGCATTTGTAGTCTAGAAGAATGTTCAACAGAATGTCGCATTCAATTCTTGACGTTCACTTAATAAGAAACAGTTCCAGTTGTTAAAGGCATGAATTCTCCAATACATGTGGAAAACGTTAAAACTCTGTGTGTGATGGTTTTGGGTAGGTATCAGAATATTTGATAACATCTGACTGGTGTTAGAAGTAGCAAAAGCCACAGAGATTACGCTCTACAAGAAGTACAGGATCTGGGATTGGTCCTGTCCATGCTCAGCCAGCACGTGAGTGCGTTCAATTTACTGCCATTGATCTTTCTGGTTTCTTCACAATGGCAGTGCCAAGTACATTTGAAAGAGAATTACCTTTGTATGCTTTCAAAATTATTTTAGATTTCATAGAAATGCATCCAATAGGTTTAGAGAACTGCTCTTTACAGAAGACTTAGTAGGCTAAAAGAAAACATCAGTACAAGTCATTCAGAGGTAATTCTACAAATAGAGTGGTTTATAAAATCCTGCATAATAGTGCAGGTGCCTGTTACAGGGAATTTCCTTAAATATAGTTAATAACTATGATTTACTTCCTTCTGTGGAAGATTGAGTGGGTTTGGGATTTTTAAGGCTTGTTAGGACCTGGGTTAGTAAATTCAGATTCAGGACAGCTTATGCACTTTAGGTAGTATAGCAATTAAATGCCACTACCTGATGTTTCTGATTATCCTTTCTGTTTTTTAGCAATCTGTTTCTAGCAGAACAGAAAATTGAGAGATTTAGTAGTATATCAGGTCATGTATAATACCTTTTTATTCACTTTTTTATGTGTCACCTTTCAACCACAAGTATTTTAATTTGTTTCTGTGTGTGTGCACACACGTGTGTGTGTGTGTGTGTGTGTGTGTGTTGGTTTTGGAGGGATGCCCAGAGTTTCCCAGCTCACATTTGAGGACTGTACTGGTTAGGTGCTATACAAACACAACTGCTGTTCTTGTGAGGTTGTACTAATAGTCTTCCACCTGTAAAGCCAAAGTCCTTGTTATGATTTTGGTTGTACAAGGCTGAGAGGTGAAGTAAAATATAATTAGAAAATTTCCCTGTTACTGAAACAAGTTTCTTAAATGGTATTATTTAAGTTTGTGTCATTTTTTAAATAGGGATATCTGTGAAAGATGCAAGGGATGCAGGCCAATTCCTTTGAACAGCAGAGTTGGTCAGGATATGCTTCACTTAGTTGAGACAAACAGGTGAAGTTCAAGAAATGGAGTTGTGGTTGGAAATAAAATAAATATTTTATCTACAGCATTAGTGTGTAAGGAGAATTTTCCTCTTCATCAGGGGGTTGAAGGAGCTGTAAGGTTGCAAGCAGTGAAGGGGAAAAAGGCAGACAGGGAATATGAAGTGACTTATCTAGCAGGCTGTTGGCTCTTTGGAGTTGTGATTATTACAAAGTGCAGGATTCATTCATTTCAGTCTGGCTGCCCATTTTCTCTAAGTAATCTTTCCCATGTTGCTGAGCTTGAGGTTTTTTCAGCTTGAAGTGTTTTGGGTATAATTAATCCTTCTATTGTTTTTTAATTGCTGCTTTGGAGGAATGAAGTAGTAGACTTCCTAAACAGTTAATTTTGATGGTGTATTTTAGTATTGTGTGTTTAGTGTGCTTCATATTTGTCAAGAGAGTAGTAAATTGGTGCTGTGGAGAAGATGAGGTTTATGAGTAGCTGTGCATGTCCTTGTAATTACTTTTAGATTTCTAAAATTATTTTCTAGGTAAATCCAAAATCCTATTCTGAGGCAATGCTTTTGTCAACCTGCTTTAATGTTAGTGCAAGCAAAAATTCTTCATGATATTCTTGATGACAGGCTTTTTCCTGCTCAGTGAAAGACATTAAACAAAGAAACTTCTCATTCTCATCTTATTTCAGGTATTTATCTGTCAGACTTGACATATATTGACTCTGCCTACCCCTCAACAGCAAGCATTCTGGAAAGTGAGCAAAGAACAAATTTAATGAACAACATTCTTCGAATTATCTCAGATTTGCAGCAGTCGTGTGAATATGGTAAGCTACTGTGTAAATATTGCAGTGTTAAAGAGAAGAACTTAAAAAGCTTTAATTTTTGTCTGCTGTGATTCAGTTTAAGTAGGGCTGGACCTCTGTGCATGCCATTAACACCCTCCCTCATCCTCTCAGCCCAAAAGTCTGGGTTTATTCTGGTATTGTTGGTTAAGACAATCACCCATCAGGGTGAGGAGACAGAATAAAATTGCCTTTCTCTTACATAGAGCAAACTGTAGTATATATTTTCTGATGATAAATGTGTAGTAGTACATCATACTCAAGAGGAGTTTTACTGGTATTTATAAGCTTGTATCCCTGTGTTCATAATTTTATGACTGAATTTTAAAAATAGGATTTCTTTTGGAATAGTACTTTTACTGGAGATAATAAAATACACTCAGCTTGTCTATTGGACATTTATAGTTCTGTCCATAGATCAGATAATGTATTTATTTCTTCAAAGGTGGTTTCCCTCACAGTCCTCTTCCAATTCTAGTAAAGTCCTAGTGCTGTGTTTGTGGTGGTGGAATGTGAATTAGCACAGAATTGTGGCTTCCCTGAAAGCTCAATGTAAAGACAATGGGGGCTGTGAAGGAGTCCTCAGACTCCATGTTCCAGGTCTGGGCCTTTGGTTTGGCCAAGGATGTTGTTTTACTTTTCCCTTTCGTGTGCTCTGATGAGCAGCTCCGGGGTTTGTGTGTGGGGGGAGTGTCAGCTCAATGCATGGGAATTGCTATGAAGTTCTAAAATTTCAGTATTGTTAGGGCCTGTAGTTTGTACCTCTGTCTCACATAAAAAGGCAAGAAATCGGAATCTGTTCAAACAGTTTCTGGAAAAAAAACTTTGCTTACCAATGAGTGGCACAGTGTCAATGAATGCTGTCTGTTTTCCAGATATTCCTATGTTGCCTCATGTCCAAAAATACCTAAACTCAGTTCAGTACATAGAAGAACTACAAAAGTTTGTAGAAGATGACAATTACAAGTAAGTACAAAATGCTATAAAGTGATCATAACTTATTACAATATTACTTCTATAACTCAAAGCTTGTCACTTATGAGATTGCACTTGCATTGGAGAATTGTATTATATTATGTCGGTGTCCTGCCAATGGCAGGGGGATGGAACTAGATGAGATTTAGGGTTCCTTCTGACCCACACCATTCTGAGATTCTGTGATGATGCACCTCAGACACAGCAGCTGTGAGCAGCTGTGGTTCCAGCAGGATGTTGTGCTCAAGGCACTTTCCCACATGCTGAATGGCAGATCTGCTCCCTTTTTTTCTATGCCAGACTGCACCAAGCCCTTGCTTCAGGTGGGTTTGGTCTGCTGAGAAAGACTTTCTACACATGGCTCACCTGTAACACTGCTCTGTCATTAAGAGGAATCCTGTGGAGATGGCTTAAGTCATTCTTTATCAGAACAAAACCATCTGTGCATCCAGTCCCAGGTTTTTACTGAGGGTGACTTACAGCTTTCATTTGCAGATAATACTTCATTTTATACTTTCCTCCTTGATTAGGTTATAAAGTCTGAGTAAAATGTAAGCACTTGGTTTTTGAGAGGCAAGTTCTCTGCCTGCTACTCCCAGCCTCCCACCCAAGGTTTCCATGTCCTTAATTAAAAGATTATTACTGTAATAAATGATTTGGCATCTAGCAAAACTGGGGGAGGGAAATCTCTGGCAAGAGACAGGAACTGAGGATAGGAAACACCCTGAGGCAAATCTGTTGCCTATGAAGGAGGGTTTTGTTCATTGGCTGATGTGCTCGAGGAGGTTCCCCACCCATTCCCATCCTGCCCGCCCGGGAAGTTTGTCACCTCAGAGGGCTTGAATTGGTTGCTTGTGCAGCTCCCTTGGAATGGCAGAAGGGGGATGCACACTTCAGGAGCAGCTGTGCTTTGCCATTTAACAGCCCTGACTTGGATTTACTGAAAGGCAGCAAATGGGGACCCTTCAGTTTATGTCAGGGAACAGTTAAAGAGGACTCAGACCTCGCTTCTCTTCTGAGCTTTGTAAGTTGTTCTCTGCCTGTCCCTGTGGAAGCATCCAGCTTCACCTTTTTCCTGGGATGTTCTAGCCTGATTTGGGAAATGCCACTTGTCTATCACTGAGAGTAAAGCTCTGTGGTCAGACATTTGAAGGAAGGAAAAAAAAAAGCTAACCCAAACCCAAGCTTCTTACCTGCAGTGACTCCTTAGGATGCTGTATTCATTAATTCCACTCTCCACCTTCCTTCACCTTCACTGGCTAGGACTCACTAACAGTGGGAATTTGAT